ACTGACCAGGAGCGTCTACAAGCGTTTTAGAAGAAATTTATAAAAAAAAAAAAGGATTAAACGCTTCAATATGAAAATAGCTACAAGAACAGGTGAGGGTCATCCTATATTTCTTAGGTGATCAAAATTGGCCAAAGTATAAATGAGAAGGTCAAAACTACATATATAAGCTTGTCACAAAAAGTTTAACAGATGTCATGAAATGTGATCAAATGAATTATAACGATACATAAGATAAAAGTGACATTGTGTAGTATGATAATTTTTTGTGCAAAAAAATTTCTAAATATTTATTTAGTTAATTTTAGTTTAGCAATTATTAAACGACGAGCACACCAAACTTGGGAAACTGCAATAGTTGAATCAATAATAACTTGACAGTAAATGAGACTCATGTAGTATAACACATCATTAATAGTTACGCTCAGTGTCTCTTAAAATACAGTATACCATCTAATAAATTCCAGTATAGATCATATGCTCTATATGCAATGCAGTATTGAAAGAAGCAGTAAGACAGTAACAAAACGTGCTTGAGAATCATTTCCATGTCTTTCTGCCGTCTTTTTAGTGTAGTTCTTCCTGAACAAAAGGAATAACAGAAATGGTTTAATTACAAGAAGATAGCACATTCTGAACAAGAAACATATATACAAATGTGAGCCTTTATTCCATTTCCATGTAAAGTTTGGGAAGGACATTGAAAAAAAGTAATAACAAATGATAATAACTTTAAGAACCTGGTTAGGTGTGCGGGAGTAGGAACCGACATAACTACATGGCAACTAAACTCCATTCCCAGTATCCAACACATTTCGAGAAACCAGATCGACGAATGCAAAGCCACGATTCACAAGAAGCATCCTCCTAGTAAGAGCATGAAGTCTCTATATTCTCAAACTCGAAGAGACCACAAGGCTAAAGAATGATTAGTTTAAAAAGAAGGAAGCAAAGAGAAGAGACACTCCTATATTTCTGTTTCGATTCCTCAAGCTTTCCGTATGCGTTGTCCAATAACCATCACATCTAATCATTAGATCTTAGAGAAGCGTCCTTAATAAATATCTCTATAATAGTAGGTAAGGACA